TTAGCCTTCTTAACAACTTTAAGAGCAACTCATCATTTTATAGGTAAAACAAGGGGCAAGTGAATTTAAAGCTTCAGGCAGAAATCAAGGCAGAATTCCAAGTCAATGTCCAATTCCAACAAGGACTGTTTATATTCTACCATAACATTAGGATTGACCTTCTCATTTGTTTAAATTACTAAAGTATGACATAATACAGTGGAGACCGTTCTAGGAAGAAATCAGTAAAGTATGGTTACATTTTACTCTGCCCTTAAAGGCTATACATGAAGTGAATTGAAAACTGCCTAAGAGAAAGCAATTTAATATTCTAAAGCAATTCTACCTTTAAAACTTCCTGAAATAAATAAGATGTCATTAACTCTCTGCTTAAAGATTGCTTTTTAGCTTGATTCACTTTGGCATCAGAACTAGATGGTAAAGTTCAGCAACTCTAGCATGCTTCTCTTTTAACTTCCTATGCAGAAAACGGAGCTCAGAGAACAACAATAAAGAAGCAAAATTTTTCCTTCCAGAGCCTCACTTTTTTTTTTTTTTTTTTGGAGACAGTGTCTCTCCTTCTGTAGTCCAGGCTGGCCTTTAACTCACTATATAGCCAAGCTGGCTTTGAACTTCAGGGAATCCTCCTGCTTCAGCCTTCCTAGGGCTGGGATTACAAATACATGCCACCACACCTGGCACTCGCTCTGTTTTTTATAGTACAATCTCAGTGGTTCTGATTCATGAAAATGGATTTCAAGTGCTGCGACTTAACTGTTGTGGAACAATTCTCTGAGTAGTTTTTGACAAATAAAAAAATGAGAAAATGTATATATTCGATTCATCTCCTATGCTAATATGCTTCTAAACTGAGAGAAATTTGGGAATTAACATTATCATATTGCTAAAGATTAAAAGTTGCATATTCTTACAGTATGGAAAATAATTTCTATTGCTTTCTGAATAGTAGTATTAATTGATATAAGGCCTAGCACTGGATTAGTCCCTAAAGTAAGCTATATCTTACATGAATTTTATCACATATCACAATCACTTGCTTTGGGAACAATTAAGATGGAATAAAAAAGGAAGAACAAATTATTTTCCTCACTTCAAGTCAATAAAAGCTATTTAAACTACTGCAATCTGATTTTTTTATTATAACAGTAACCACAAGTAGAGTAAAAGCTAACATCTATTAATGCTCACTACTTTGGCAAGAAAATATTAATACATTCAGCTTTCATAACAAACAGTAACCACGAGTGTCACTGTCTCCATTTTACTGCTAAGAGAGCTTAAGGAGTTTAAGTGGTAAATTTGGAGTTCTGACCCGAGCTCCATTTATATGAACCACATTTTAAATAATTTCCCTAAACAGTTATTTGCCAGGCTTCCTGTAGTCATAATTTAAAAATTCAAAATAGCAATACAACAGTAACAACTGCAAGACCTTTCAGCTGTTTTGTTTATTTTTTATTTTTTAAAAGGACAATTTTAAGGTCTGTGATTGTTGTTTCTCTAGCCCAGAAATTCTTTGAACTCCAGTTGGCAGACTTGCTAAGGATATTATAGAGACAAAGTCAGTCCCTTTTCTAGATGGAGCCAATATCCTTAAGGAGAAGAAATACTGATAAAGGTTATTTCTAAATGATTGGCCATCCACAATCATCAAGTGATCCTTCCCCTCATGCCAACAACATTTTCTCAATGCCAGTTTTAAGTTTCCTGTGACAATCAAAAAGTCCCTCATAAAGCCACTCAGCAGTGATTCCCCTTCATTCCTTAGATTCTCCAGAGGGGTACGTGTCATCCTAACAGGCTTCATCCCCCCATGAGTGTCAGTATGATACTGCTACACCATAAGAGAATCACCAGTGATGGAAGCTGTCAGCTGAAAAACATCTTGGTGATCTCCAATATCTTTATCTCACAGATAAAGAAACTGGAGTCCAGAGAAATTAACCATCCACACAGTTCCTAAATGGTGGAGCTGGGACCAGAATTCTCATCTTATAATTCACAGTGCCATCTGCCCTATAACAAAGCACCACTTTGAGACCTTTTTGTTGACCTGGGGATTTTTCCCTCGTTGATTTGTGAAGAAAATGAAATTACTAAATTTGCAACAGCTCACCCAAAGGGCCAATACAAATACTTTTGATGTATTATAATTTTCTCCTATTTGCAATTTATAACCACCTGAAACAAGCAGCTCAATATCTAAGGGTTCTCAGAGGCTTCATCTTAGGCAAAAATTTTCATTGGATTTGTATATGAAAAGATAGAATTTGTCTCAATTATACTATTAATATGGGCTCTAACATGCCTAGTTTACGTCTGGGAATTAAATGTTTGTTAGTACAACCAGCCTCACATATGAACAACTCAATGTTTGTTAGTAATGCTTGTCAAATATTTACTTCACACTAGGACCTTAGAGTAACAAAATTAATCAGAGAATAACAGGCTAATTTTAATTTGTTTTCTTATGTGATCTTATAAAGCAGAAATTTTTAAATTTCAGATGAGATATCAAATTACATTTTCATATATTAAAATGTATATGACTGATATTTGTGCATCATCAGACAGTGATACAGTATGGGGTTTAGGGACCACTAATATCGATATCTGTATCTTTCAAGGTAACATTTTTCCTCTCACCAAAAACACATAGCATATTACAATTTTACTCCATTGCAGATATATTAGATCAGGATTTTCACATGATGGTTGTTGGTGATTCTGAGTTTTAAGTGCTTAGGAATATTAGGCATCCTATACAATGAAAAATTATCTGGAGAAAATTGTCTATATTCTCATACATAAACAGGGGTTTAACTGCCGTCAAAAAACTATGTTAACTGTGCAGTATAGAAAAAAACTACATTTTTGGAGGGAATAAATTGGAACTGAGGTGTTTAACTTGAAAATTATGTACAGGTCATATAATCTTAACAATTAAAAAGTAGAATGACCTATGTTACTTTTTAAGTACATATAAAATTATGTCCTGAATAAAATTACATGATACTCAGAAAAGCTATACTATAATATTGTCACAAAATATTTAGTTTCTTGGAATATGGAATAGAGCTTAATTGTAGAGCTAATTTTTAGAACTCAGTTCTAAACTATTATTATATTAGTTAATATCTTTGTTTAACTTTCTTGGCAAAATTTATTAACAAACTAGTAAATTATACTGTTACACTCATTTTATTAAGACAAACAAGTTACTGAATACTTAATGTTAAACTTAATAAACATTACCCCAACTTATTACCTGTATTCACCTCTACTACAAAAAAAATAGAAACTATTTCACCAAACTGAGATTGTCTTAATTTAATACAATAATATAAATAAATATATTTTTACACAAAATTTTATCAATGATTTGAAACCCTTTCCAAATATATGTGATCCCTAGGAATTTTATTTTCTTCAAAATATGTTATTTCAATTTTTCAAAGCTGATCACAAATCACTTAGACTTATTCTATTAATATCCTCTCATCAAAATGGTCAAGTAAAAATCAACCTTCCACCACTAAGCTACATGTTTTGTCTATGGATGGTCAAATATTTATTTAATAACACCTAAATATAAATGTGAAAATATTTCTTTTTGTTCATTTTGGTAGATGATGTGAATATTTAGATTTCCTTTGCCTTTGCGTACACGTGTATCAGAGCAGAGAAAGAGCAATGGCTTTGTTTGAGACCAGCTTTTCTAACAAATATGTTAAAATTAGAATAATAGTCTAAGCATTATGTCTGGCTAGAATGTTATTTCCTGCAATCTAATGATGGAGGAAGCCATCTGATAATACCTGTTTACAGTTGCCTCGCCACTTGATATCAATTTCTCAATTATCAGACATTTACAAAATCTTTTTTCAAGTCTTTTACCTTCTTCAAAGATATCTAGTATAATTAGGGATGTATGAAATAAAAACTAACAGTTTTAAAACTCATGTCTACCCAGAGACCCAGAACACTAACAGTAAAGTACTGCAGGAACATGGAAGCAAGAGCAATCCTTGTGGACCTGACTGCTCAAATATAATACAAGCACAATACAAGAAATGTGGTTCTGAGTTGTGCTTATCACACAGTAGGATTTGAATCCTGAAATAGCTGCTTTAATAGTAATGTACCAATTTAATAGTAATAGTAATAGTAAATTTAATAGTAATAGTACCAATTACTATTAGTAATGACAATACAATCTAGTGAACAGCAAATCCTAACCTTAGGTCCTATTCTGTCTTCTATAGTTGGGATTTACTCTTAAATTGCTGAGTCTAAGACAGAAATAATATTAATTAAACAATAATTTTAATGATTCAGGATTTGAAACAATAACCCTAGAAACCTTATTTGAAGACAAAGAGCATCAGGAAGCATACACACAATCATGTGTTGGGACCTTAGATGTGACTGGAAGCACCTGGTACTGTTCTTAATCCAGGAGCACTAATAACCCCCCTTTCCATCTCTCAGAAATTGCACATATAAATATAGGAAATAGGTCTCCTTCATTTCAGAGATAATGGCTCACACTTAAAACATGCCCCCAAAGAATCTCTCATGAAATACTAATGCAAATAGTTCATATCTGTAAATATATATTGAGTAGTATGGAATCTTCAAGTGAGAAACTATTTCGTTAGTGTTATCTTCCAGTTTCAGGCACCAGCTTTACATACAGGTTTTGATTGTTGAAGTCCCTATTTCATTATTTTTGAAAGAATGCTTTACCTTACTTCAAAAGTAAATGTATAACTTTGTTAGGGAAGTGGCTATATATTTAATGTCCATTCAATGTTTTGGGAATCATCAGTTGCTTGCTCTCATTTGGTATAGGAGTCTTGTTTTGTTTAAGTGCATCACGGCCAAGTCAAAAAACAGATGTGTGGTTTGTGTCTTTGTTCATATGATTAATTTTCTGTTTAGACCAAATGACATTATAGCTGAAAATAACATTCCCTGATTTTTCCTGGTGCATGCAGATTCTCCAAAGTTTAATAGGATATGGCCGAATATTTCTTCCCTTGAGGTTTCTAACCCAAAACAAGGTAGGAGCATGTAAAATTCCTACTGATATAAAAATCCCACATATTTGAGGAAAATCCCATATACAATTTTTAACACCTAATAAGAATATCATCATGAATGCCATGCCTTGGTAAGAATCATAATTCAAATCATTTTTTCTAGCATGAAACCTTTCCCAGAAATACTGAAGTAAATAAGGAAGAAAAAAAATTAGATGGCGTAGAAGTTATAAGCTCTTTATCAAATTCACACTGCATGTCAGTTAGTCCTGAGAGAAGCCCAGTTTTGTCACTATCACAATGAGGAGTGTAAATAAGTCTCAAAACTTTTAAATGTCAGAAATGTCCTTCCAGCATCTACCTTCAACTTTTCTTTAGTAACCAACTGTCCTCTCACTTAGATTGAGGGTTCTAGCTGAACAGAAAAGGCAGTGTCATAACACCCAAAAGATCTGTTCTCTTATTGCTGCTCCATTTTGGATTAGAAATCTCTCTCTCTCTCTCTCTCTCTCTCTCTCTCTCTCTCTCTCTCTCTCTCTGTCTGTCTCTCTCTGTCTCTCTCTCTCTCTGTCTCTCTCTCTCTGTCTCTCTCTCACTCTCTCTGTCTGTCTCTCTGTCTCTCTCTCTCTCTGTGTGTCTCTCTCTCTGTGTCTCTCTCTGTCTCTCTCTGTCTGCCTCTCTCCCTCTCTCTCCCTTTCTCTCTCTCACTCTTTCTCTCTCTGTGTTATATAACACACAACACATATATCATTACAATAAATTTTCTTTGTTGAGACTTTACCTTTATCCCTTACTCAGTTGACATTCATGTCTACCAGAATTAGCAGCAGCCTATTTTCTGTTTGTCTTTAGAGAACTATTTTCTGATATCAAAGAAGAAGGAAGGAAGAGAGGAGAGAGGAGGGGAGTGGAAAGGACGAAGTAGACAGCAGTTTGATTATGTTATAAGAAATAGGACAATAAACTTCATAAGCTGCAGAGTAATGTTAAATTCACTTAACATCTATTACCTGTACATATGCATATATAAAGTTCAATTTAATTTAAAACTGTATAATTTTGTCTTCTTATTTCTCAAAAATTTTTGACTGCTACCTTTCTTAGTTGTATACAGGATGCTCTTTAAGATTCTAATGAATACAGATGGTGGAGGAAATGAGCAAAAGGAGGAACCAGGAAATAGCTGCTAAGCAAAACAAAATATATCAGCAACTTGTTGAGGAATCAGATTGAAAAGACTGCATTTTCAGTCCTTGATCAGAGTGATGAAATTGAGACTGTCCTAGATACATATATTACCAGCAAATAGAATTATCTTAATCATTCACTCCAAACAAATTTTATCAAAGTTCAGCATACATATGTGGAAGAAGAAATACAGATCAAGCTCACCCTATTAGTATAATTCTATGAGGATTTAAGGGAGGTTTACTGACTTTATTCTTTGGCAGATTCAATGAAAGCATCTTTGGTAATATGCCACTCACTCTTTCCCATTAAATTTCATAGCTCAACAAATTACACAAGACAAGATCGTAGACTTAACACTTCACAGTAAGTTTTGAGCTGAGCAAGATTGTGCATTGTTCAAAATCTGAAATAGACACATTTAATTATTTTTCTGTGGTCTTCTGTGCGTGTCACAGGACAAAGAGCTCTTAGAAACATTGTTAGACAATGCCAGTTGCACTTTTTAGAATGTGCATAATGAGCTCAAATAAATCTATTTAAAAAGTCGTATAGTTGAATAAAATGCTTGAACTTGAAATCTTAGTAAAAGGAGCACCTTTGTAGCAGAGGCCAGTTCTGTGGAGTCATAATTGGTCTTGTCAACATCTGCAGAGAACATCAGACTCTACTGTATTTTTGTTATTTTCACAAGCAAGACTTCACAAATAATTGGAAAGGAAATGACAGGCAAACTTAAAAATAAAGCCCGGCATTAACAAACTCATAGCATTATAAAGGTAAAGTTGCAATTTTTAAAGGTACTCATGTTCAAGGCCCAAATGCTGCCAAATGGTTGATATCATGGCTCTGTTTTATAGTGTTTAATCAGTTCAACATAAACAGTCTCGTTGCTTGTACTTCTACAAGATATATATGATATAATGATATCATATTATAATGATATCATATCATATTATAATGATACAGAATAATATGGGAAATTGGACCAATGTTATTTGAAATCTATAACACAACTGCTAAGTTTAAAGGGGAGAAAATCAGGGGCTTCTGATACCCATATTTTTATGGGAAAAATCTTTGTTTAAATGAATTTTTATTTATATGTTAATTCCTTTTGATTCTGAATATAAAGTTTCTAAAGTTTGTTATTGACAATGTTAAACCATTTTTAGACCCATAGAAGCCTTCATGAATAATTAAAACAACTCCCAGGAACAACAGATTCAAACAGTTCCTTCTTTTAGAGCTAGTTTTGAGTGGGTTGGTAATAGTATTACAGTTTGGACATTTCACTGTTGTTTCTAATTTGCTGTTATTCTTTTAAACCTATCCAGTTGCTCCCAAATTAGCTTTGTCAACAGTTTCTTCTGTTCAAGTTGCAAACCACAAGAGAGGTAGGATTTCTTGGATTCATACAGTGATTTCATGGTGTTATGTGTTGTGAAACATTGCACTGTATGAATCTGGAATATCTGTGAAGTGTACCCATCAGATTATCGTTGAGGCATGTTGACTGATACTAATTAATGCATCACCTAGTACTGAGACTGTCACCTATAAGAAAGAATGCTTCTCTCAGACATTTGACTGCAACTTAAAATACTGCAATATTTGTTTTCTGAAAGATTGATGTGTGAATAAGAATTATAATTGTTTATGATCTTGTTTAGACCATGAGTATGAGAGCACCGATACTGATACCCATTTGCTTTGAAAATAAGGGAACTCACAGTGAATTTTGATGATGTTTTTCATGAACTCAGAATGGTGGGTTCCATACTTGGTGCCCATTATACTTTGTACCAAGTGGAACCTCCTGGAATTCATGCTTCCAAACATTGATTTGAATAAACTTGAAAAATACTGGTAAAGATCTGGGCTGGATTAAGTGTTGATTATAATCTGAATATAGTATTCATATTACTTTCCTTAAATGAAAGCCACCAGTGCCTCATCTGTGACTCATGAATGGCCTATTCCAACTAGCATCTGTCATTCACAGAAAGAAGATTTTTCAGGAAACATAAAGACCCGTTTTTACTTTACCATTTTCTTTTAAATGTCCTATGTAACAGGTGTGTCTCGTTTTCTACCCTTCACTGTTAAATATATGTCATTCTTGTTGTTATTTTGGAATTTTTTGTTTTTCCATGAAACATGTCCTCCAAAAAATAATATTTATTCACAATCTGAATTTGTTCACAATCAAAATCAATCTGAATTTATTCACAATCAAAATCTGAATTTTGTTTGAATCACTTGATGAAATGACCATACCATCTTTCTTTACTGAATTCAATCATTTTCCAGGTTTTAGGCAATATTAAATTTATCCTGTGGCATGTAGAAAAAGGGAAGAAATAAGTCAGGAGACAAGGAGAAAGGAAACTGATAGTATTTAGACCATGTCTAAACTTCTCTCACAATATGCTCGGAATTATGGAACACTAAAGGTGCTCTATTGATGGATATTCAAATAGTTATGAAATATAGGTAAATGCATTATGAACAGAGCTATCACAGATTCAGAAGGCAGCAAGTTGATTTGGGCATTGATATAGGTAATAGGCAGGCACTAAAGCCACATAGAAATACAATTCCTCATTTACAATAGTCTATGAAATTAGACCAAAGAGGTGAATGAGAAAGGAGGCAAAAGGAGTTGTGTAAAGTCTATCTCTTTATGTCAAGTCGCTGGATGCACGAGAGGCCTCTCACCCAGTGATGGATGCTGTGTTGTTAAATCTCTAATAATATTTTGAGGATAACAGTGTTAATGAGGCCCAAACATAGCCTGGAGGCAGACAGAAGCTACTTAATGAAATAGATTTGTTTTAAAAATCTATGAGGAAGAGCTTCAGTAGCTATGTAAGAATACAAGACAGGTTGAGAGAGGAACAAAAGATTTCTAGATTCTCTTCAGTCCCGCCCATGAGAGAGGCTTCAGGCCCTAGGGGAAGAATCATGCATTCATGCTGTAAAAGAAAAATACTTCGGGAGTTCTAATTCTTTTACCTTCTATTACGCTGTTTGCTTAAATTCTTCCTTTTGGAATGGTAAAATTTTCATCAGCTCTAGAATTTGAATAAGCTTTATTCATTTAGATAAATTCTACCTGTGCCACGTTCAGAGTATTTTATGTTATGGTCACGTATGTAATGGAACAATGTAACTACAAGCAACAGGAGAACAGTAAGAAAGAAGACACAAAAGGGAAATGTAGTCCCTTCTTCCTGACATTTGTTTTCTTCAGGTCTCTTTGTCTCCAAAATTGATTTCCAAGGACTCTTTCCTACTCAGCTCTCCCTCAGTCAGCCTCAGTCAGAATGAACTTTATAAAGCTCAGAGAGTTGTGGGCCTTTACTAATCTGGAAAATCAACTTTCACTCCCCCTGTTCCAAAATGTCTTTAGCTTTTATTAATCTATATGTTATTAAGTATCTTATTATCATATTTACCTTGTATGAGATGTAAGATATGAGATGTAAGATACACATCTGTTTTGGGTTGGGGGACTGCCTTCCAGGGGATATTTGACAGTGTCTGGGAGCATGTTTCATGGTCATAGGTTGGGATTTGCTATGACTTCTTGTGGGTAAGGCTAGAAATGTTTGTGAATATCATACAATGTGCAGGACGGTAGAAACAAAGAAGTATTGGGGCCCAAATGTCAATTTTGCTGTGGTCAGGAAACCCTACATTAGACAACTTCGTTCATTTTCATTTTGTCCCCTGGAACATAATGCCTGGTAAAGAAGCATTGCAATAAATATGTGTTGGCAGTGCTTGCCTTGTCATATCACGTGTATGTGTACTGAAGACCCTTTTAACTCTGTTTACACAATAACACTGGCCTGAAATATATATACAATATATATGTATTAGGTATATATATAATCTACATTATATATATATATATATATATATATATATATATAGCCAATGCAATTTGAAATTAAGAACTTTATAAAGCATAGCAATTTTCAGTAATCTGCTCTTTCTGCCTAAACTCATCTGTTCATAGATTAATACTCAATTTCCAAGTCATCACTAACTTAGTTATATCTTATTGTATAGATATAACTAAGTTATATCTTATTGTGTAGGTGCTGTTTTTCTAAACTCTAATACATATAATATAGCCGGAATCTCTTAAAAGGATTTGAACGGTAGAGGAATCAATTTAAATATAACTTTCTGTTGTGACTGCCTCTGTCATCCAGGGAAGGTTGCTTCAGGATCAACCTTCATTCATTAGTTAATCATTCAATGTTTTCTGAGTGATAACTATGTGCCAGGGGTACTTAAAGCTCTGTGGACAAAACAGGTGTTGTCTGCACTCATATGTTTATGTGGAGCAGAAGGAGAAGATTTTGCAATGTTAAACAGGGTTAGGAAGTTGGAAGACTAGGGTGTTTCAACTGGGAGTCATTAATTCCGATAAAGTAGTCAGAAAAGTTCTTTTAAACAAAGACCTAATGAAAGAAATAAAGGTACAAGTAGTGACCAATGTTTGGGGAGTGTCTAAGGAGGAGTATTCTGGACAGAGGAAACAGCAACTACAAAGGTCCTGAGAAGTGCCTGGCACTTTTGAGGAGCAACATGAAATCTGTGGGGTAGACAGTGATAGCAAGAAACTCCCGGGAAACTAAGAGCCAGAGCAAGGAACGATTTTTTCTTTTTTCTGAAGGAGTTTGGGAGCCGTTTGGACAGTGCGTAGTCAAATGTGACGACCTAATTTGAGTTTTCAAAGAGTCACTCTGACTGCTTGGAAGAAGAGATTCTCACAAGAGTGGAAGCCAAGAGAGTAGTTTGGGGATGGCAGCAATAGCCAAGGTAGTAATGCTGCAGACGGCATGAGGTGGTCAGATTCTGCATGAATTTGAAAGCGCAGCTAAGCGTGTTTGCTACTGATTTGATTATCAGCAGTGGAGGAAAAAAGGACAGTGTATCAAGAAAAACTCTGGGCAGTTGGAGAAATGAAGCTCTTATTTTTGAGATGAGACCTCCTCTGGTGAGCATCAGGTTTAAGAACATAGTCCAGGAGCTCATTTATTTTTTTTTAACATCTTACAGTTGAGATCTTTATTAAATGTTCAAGTGGAGATACTAAGAAGGTTACTGAATGCAATGTAAGAGGTTCAATGCGATCTCAATAACTAGCCGAGGACTTGCTTCAGGATAGAAATAAACATTTTGGAATGGTTCACATACAGATGGTTGTAAAGACACGGGCCTAAGTAAAAATCATCTGGATTTGACCTCAAGGGTACTAAAGTCCAAGGACAAAATCCTGAGAGAGGAAATAACACAAAAAGCAAAAGAAGACACACCAGAAGTTAATGATCAGGAATTTGAAGTGAGACTGATTTCAAAATAGTTGGAGGAAATGCTCTAGCAAAATTTAACTGCTAGGGGGACTGGGGATTTAGCTCAGAGGCATAATCGCCTGCCTTGGTCGAGCACATGGTTGTGAGTTCGATCCCTGGTACTGATTAAAAAAAAAACAATTTAACTGCTGGCATGTAGACCTGCAGAAATAGAGAACTAATTTCACAGCATAGAGTTTTCCCAGGAAACTATGATTAAAGGTAGGAGGGCAACCAAGTTTATAAAATGAAGTACCATTATTATAAGGGTGGAGCATAGATTCTCTCCCTTTACAAGAAAGAAAGGGAGGACATGGTAGGTCAGTGAAACAAAGAATTGAAGAATTATTCAATTATTAATATGATCTCTTCAGTATCTAACTATGATAATGCAACTGAAATTATATCATTAGCGATCACTAATAAGTCCTGTGTCTAAATGAAGACTAGATATTGAAGAATGGTAAATTTATGGGTGCTATAAGATAATATGGCAACCTAATAATTATATCTGAAATGCCTAGGAAAAAGAAAAAGGCTACAAGTTAGTTAAGATAGTTATTCTACTAGTTTCTCTTAGTTCATTGAAAAGAAAGGTCTGTTCTAACATTGTTTGGACAATTTGTCATGCCTACATTTTATGCTCGGAGTAACTACGTTGAAGATAACAATATGCAATGTTTTAACTATTGTTACTCTCCTATTATTTTGTTTTGAAATTTTGTTTTATTTTTTCTTTAAAATAAAAGAAATGCCTTCTATCTATATAATGTTCTAATGTCTTCCAAAGCACATTCAAAAATGTTTTTTTCATTTAATATACTCAAATATAGCATGATCAGAGAAGACAGCTTAATCAAAGTTTCAGAAGGATCCTAAAGTCTTAAAACATCAAGTTATTGTGAACCTATTGTGAACCTATCTCATGGATTAAAAGCATTTTAAATAGCTGCTTATTTTAAGAAATATTTATAATATTTTGTAGTTAGTTGAGCATAGTTTTCACACATAATTATTTAACCTTTCCTATCAAAAATGACAAATTCGTTTTAAAACAAGACTGAGTTAATGTCATCACAGAAATATTTACCACTCACTAAATTCAAATATTGTTAAGCAACATTGTTACATTTGACATGACAATTTTGATTTATGGAATGGATAACAAAATATTGAGCTTAGATTTTGTTTTTCAGTGCTGGGATCAAACCTATAGCCTTGCCCATGCTGAGGTACAGCCTCATCCCTGAGCTTGGGTACATTACAAATACTTTTTTCATGACAGTTTTGTTAGACAGAGTGCAGCATGAGTTACAGCTATTGAGCAGATCCTGTACAAGCCCCTACATACCCACAAAAGAACCATATTATAAAAAGTCTCCTATCTAATTCTCCATATTTCCCATTTCATACCTTTGCACATTCTTTATTCCTTTCAATAGAAATACTAATTTTCTCTTTAAAAACAAAACAGAAACTTTATCTTACTCAGTGTGCAAGTCCTGTTGGGCATTTGCCTCATTCCTCTCAAGTGAAATGAATTTCACTTTCTGCCTTTGTGTTGCTATTTTGTTTTCTTCGCACAAACTATTTTAGTTTTTAGTTATCTGAGTCCATATTTGTCTTACTAATTAAACGACTATGTTGTTACAAAAAGACTTAAAATGAACATATGCCCACAAAGATGCTTTTGAAAAAAGCTGTAAGTAATTAGGGGCCCCAAGATCCAACCTAGGATGGGGATTCTGAAGAAGGACAACCAACAGAGGAACTCTCCCCAAGGAAGGACAGAGTCCCTATGAACATGCTTATATTATTCTCTTCCCAGGAATCTCAGGCAGTACCAAAGAAGTCCTTGGGAAGCATGAAATTTGGAACTTGCACCCAATACTCCTGGAAGGATTCAGGCCAGAATGAGTCTCCCTGTATCAAATTATTAATGAATAAAAGATCTAGAAACCTTTTCTGTTTCCTAGGCAATCAGAGATGCCAATAAGAACAAGGTGTAACTCAGACATGAATTTTGCATTGAGTAAAAGTTTGTTTCCAAAATAATTTACTTTGGTAACCCGTAATTACTTTTATTGCTGGTGTTATTATTTACTTGGCATGTCTTAACCACTGTATTTAATTTTTTACTTCATCTTGTACACTGAAGTCACAAGGCGTCCTTCTATGTACGCTCCTCCCTCTGGCTCTTCTCCGCCCTCATCCCCAATCCTACTCCCTGCACATATGTAGAGCAGACACGTCCTACAAAGCATGTGGCATAGCCTCAGGATCAACCCATCTTCTTGCTTGCCTTTTAAACTGGATTCGTCAAGCTCCTGACACTCCACCTAGATATTTTGTGCCCTTCACCATCCCCACTTTCCTCTTGTTTTTGTCTAAGTCAGACTTCTTTCACTCAGGACCACGACGCTAGCAATCTGTTTGAGTAACCAGCTCTCTAATGGACGAATTCACACTGTTCTAATAAGTGATACTATATTAGCAAGGAAAATTCTTAGAGCCAGCCATCTCTCCTTGTTCTTTTTTACTTGTTAACACAGTTTGTATTGTAAGTAAACAAATTCAGTACTCTTAAAATTATATGTAGGTCAAACAGTAATTCAGCACCCAGCATGGTTTGTAGTATGTAATAGAGACTCAATAAAATGCTGAATGAATGAATGAATGAATGGGCTCAAATATTGACTGTTTTTGAATTTTAGCAGAATAAAATAAAAGCTACATATTAATCAGAAGAGTATTTATACATAAACTCTTTTATGTATACGCTTTTCCTTATAAATTTCTAATTCAGCCTATTCTCATATTATGGCAAGACACAATAGACTTCTCACCTAATTGTTCCTTAGATTTTTCTATTGATTTAATAATTATTTCATCACCACTTCTGTTGAAAAGATTGAATTAGATTAACAATTTCTTCCCTTGGTTGAGCTGCAAGAGAGATCAAGTCACCCTCTGTCCTCCCAAGCTGCTCTCATCCTCTTTTCTTCATCTCCCTGTCTGATCCTTACCGAGGTCGCTCCTAAGCCCCAGGAGCATCCCCTGCATTTTAGAGAGAAAGTGGAAAAGAAATCTTGAGATTTAGGAGCTGCCTAACTCTTTTTTTTTTGTAGCATCAAATTTGAAAGAAAAAGGAAATCTTAACATTATTTTTTCATCCAAATACTCTCTCCTTTTTTTGTGTTTCTTGTTCTACATAAACATGCAGATTTGACCTGAAGAAAGGCACAGGAAGCCATCTTCTCCTCCTAGCATTGTATAGTCATTGGGGGGAAACTACAATAAAGAATTGTGGTGGTTGTCTGGATCTCTACTAAATTTGCCAGGTTTTCCATGAAATCTTGACTGAGTTACTGTCTTGCATAAATAATTGTGAGGCATTAGGTACCGTGATATAACGGCAAATTCAGGCCCTAATGCTCATATGCTTTGCTCCCTTTTTTTAAAGATTGCATATATGAAGAGAAAGTGGAAAAACGTGCAAATCAGTAAAGTTTTCCTTGAGCAAAAATTAGATTTTTTGCATCCACGGAAATCAAGCTTTCTCAAATTTTAAAAGGTGTACACCTGCAAATGCTTCTGTTCATCTTGTCTGCCAAAAGTTAAGTCTTCAGTCATGTTCTGAATGTCTGACCTTTCTATCCTGCTTGAAATAGACGCCACTTCCATGCCAGTCTCAGCCACCTGTTGCCACCGTGTGCCATGCTGACTCACATGTGATGCCATTCCATCTTTTCTCCATCCCTCATCTTATCCAAGCATGTACTGTGCTATTACTCTGCTGCTGTATACACTCTGTATACATTTCTGTTCTTCCTTGCAAGACTGTGAATGCTTCGGCCACTCCAATCGATGCAGTTATATCGATCTGCTAAATACAGTCATTTGCGTGAGCTGTAAACACAACACTAGAGGGCAGCACTGTGAGTTATGCAGGCTGGGCTACTTCAGAAATGCTTCTGCACAGCTGGACGATGAGAATGTATGCATAGGTCAGTTCCATTATAATTTCAGCTTTCGTTCTGTGCCTTTTGAGCTATGGGGAGCTATGTAAGGTGGAGAGGCTGGTATTTGCAACACAACTGAGTCAGAAAGAACTTTCTCAGTGGGCCAAATATCCTTGTGGTCGACTTAAAATTTACTTCTAGTTGAAATATTACTGAGGGAGGGGGCTATATTGTGAATCCTTACATTGTTGCTTTCAAGATGACGATCAGAGAAATCATGTTTAGAAAATGAACATTTTCCTTTATTCTTCTTTCCTTTTCTATTTATTTATTTATTTTTGTAACTTTTTCTTGCATGAAATCTTGAAGCCTGGTGATTTTGACTTGATATTTATGACCAATCTTAATATAAGGAAATTCATTATATAGGATTTATTTATAGATATGAAATGTTGGAGTATGAGCTTATGTATATAACTGAGGATCAGCAAGGAGTGATAGATTTAAAATGTTGCCATTTGGAATTGAAAGCTACTAGTAACTGATAAAATAGAAATTTGTCTGACTTTTCCATCCACGGTACTGAAATTTCATTTATTACATTTTCTTCTAGCCCCCAAAATAGGCATATTTCTCAAGTAATTGTCTTAGCTTCTAAAGAACATGAGAGCCAGAAAACCAGGTTCTCAGTGTCCTCTGGAGTGCTTCCCTCTGCTCCCCCGAAAATGCCTGCTGCTCTTGACACCTGGGGAGAAAACAGGTGCCCTTCCCACCCTTCTGCAGAGTGGGACTTGTCTTTAAGAAAGGGAGGCTGGTGGAAAAATAAGAAACAATAAATGGAATTTCACACTTAACTTACTTTGATGAAATGTATATATCTGAAATGCAATATGCATTACAGCATTAGTAGATAGCTATACAAGTGAGCCATTTTAAAGGTAGAATTTTTCATGTAGGCACTAAATCAAATATACAAAATGAAAATGACAAGTGATCTTTCATCAAGAAATACAATCTACCTGCATTTCTGGAGTTATTGCTTTCTAATTGGCTTGTCAAGGTCATATAGAATCTTGCTGACTGTCACATAAAGTAGCTGTGTAATTTTTTTTAATTGAATTAGCCAAATATACATAATACTATTAATGTCTACAGTATTTTCTGTTTTTCAAAGATCCTCCTATTTATTATTTGTGAATTAGTGGAGAAAGTACTGGATTTAAAACTGGAGAGCTGGGTTCAAGTCCTGGTTTGCTATTTAGTAGCTGTGTACCTTAGGTAAGTCATTTGATCAGGTGGGATGCACAGGAAACACTTGATCAACTGTGAACTGACCTGCAAATTTAACTTAATCCTCATTAACCAAACCGTAGGGTAAGTATACACTGATAATTTCCCCTATTTTTCTACTGGAGAAAAATAAGGCAAATAGACCCAAATCAAACAGCTTTATCAAAAACTTCCTGATTTCAAAGACTGGCCCTCTCTCTTAACCACTGTGACACAATTAGCAAAGTTAAGCACATCAGATTTTTACTTATAACATGTTTTTTGGATGACAGCATCAACTCCAATATGATCTTATGAACAGAAGCTCAGTTGCTTTTATAACACATGGGTTACAATGATTTGAGGATATTAATAAAAATCAGGAGGCACATAGCTTTCTGAATTTTGAATGTAGAATATATTCAACTGAATGGCATTTGTAAAAATATATAAATGTCATGCTGTAAATATGGAAACAGCAGAAAAGGTAAATAAGAACACAAGGATAAGACTTTTTTTTACAAAATACATAACATTAAAATGTTCTACAGTACTTAACATTTTAAATGAACCAAATAAAAAGAACTTAAAGGAAAAACTTGAACACTGAATACTTGTATGCAACAAGTAATTGAGAGTTAATATCATTTTTTTCTAGAAAGCACTAATAATAATGAATAGCTATTTACCTTACTCATTTTCAAAGAATGTGGCAGTAGTCTTGGAAACTTTGAACTTCATCTAATGCTAGTCTACATTCAAAAAATTTTTAAGTGTGCCTTGCCAATTCCTTAACAACTGGCAATTAAATTTTCCATGCTGCCTATAAGGGAACAGCTCTTACCTTTGAAAAATGTAGACTCAGTTGAAATAGATGTTTTAAAATACTTGTATCACTTTATACTATGGCAAGTATGACATACTAGTCCATGTTGCCACACTGATTGCTGCTTTGTGATTACTGGCGAATTTACACATTTTTAATACAAATTCCAGGCACAGCCATGTCTCCAAAGATGCATGTAATTACCTTGTGATGATGCAAAAATTACATGAAGATGACATCCTTGCATGCTTCTGTTTCATATAAACTTAAGCATTAAGCAGGAAGCTAGAGGATACATGGTTTGTGACCTTGGGTAATCACTGTTAATAATCACGGTTAACAAGCTTTGCATCTGAATGAAACACAGGCTCAGCAGTTGCTGCTAAACATATCTCAAGGTTTTGATGTATTATTTTTAATTCTCCTTGAAACCTAAGATCAGATAATCAGAGGTACCTTATGTAGAACAAAGCAAATGCAAGACAATTTTAATGTCTATAAATCAATTTTAGTGTAACTTTTTAATCAAGCCCAGCAGAAGCATTTCATGTTGTTTTATAATCAAGCAGTTCTGTATAGTCTTCATAGTTTCATAGGATAAAATATGTTCATCCAAGGCTATTCCTGTTACCCTATGTCTACCAATAATATAGATAGTTTTGAAAAATTAAAATATTTCTATGTAAGGAGGAAGATAAAACCACACCTCCTCTTGTCATTTGTCTCCATGATTGTTTGAATAACACTGCACTCACCAACTTTCCCTAGGATAAACCACTGAGATGCTATGGTTTAGAGATGTTCCACTGTTCCCTTGTTTGTTTTTTACTTTGTTTATATTTGTGCTTTTAAAGCCTCATATTAATTAATTGTTATGGATATTTAACTAAAACAATATGTGTACTCAGGTTGGCCAGACGTAATTCTGCTAACTGGTTTACATATGTTGGTGATTCATTATTAACTTATATACTTTAAATAATATATAAATAGTAAGATACATTGTACAGTTTTCTTCTAGGTACACATTTATATGCACATATATCCAAATATTGAAAACATTAGAACAAAATTACCATTTTAAGATACATTTTAAAAATAGCTTTTATGGCTGGGTGCTTAGCTCAGCTGTGTAAGTGACTGCTTGGCAAATGTGAGGTTGTGAGTTCAATCCCCAGTACAAAAAAAAATATAGCTTTTATGTACACATATACATTAGAATCGATAACATCACAAAATAGAACCTAAGTTAAGCATAAAACTGCTGAGGCAAAGAGGGAAGATATTAAAGTTTATTTATTTAGATTTTTACATACATATATCACTGTTAGTCTTATAATTTTTTATAAAATTAATGTTGTTAAAAACTTAACCTTAAATAAATCATAATTTTAAATTACTATACCTTGTTTAAAGAAAGTATCTAATTAGTATCTTCAGTAAAAAAGTTAGAACCAAAGCCATGTGTCCATTTGTAATGTTAAAACCTTAATCTCCATTGTTAATTTTAAGGCATTGAACTTGATTTTATCAAACTAAAGTTCTTAGGACTTCAGTTGGTAGGTTGGTTGGTTGGTTGATTGGTTAATCATATGGATTTTAGCAAGAAAATCACTTAATGGGCTCATTTTAAAATAATGTAATTGAAAGATAAGTGGCATATATGCTACCAGAGATTACACAGTGGGCTAGCAAGCAGTGGAAATTTGACTCACAAATGCTATAAATTGCAAACTACCTGTAATACTCCTCCAGTCAATGGAAACCTAGACAAGTCTTACTTCTAATTCAAGCTTTAATTACAATAAAGCTCTAGAAACATCCTATAAAAGAATGTATAAGGAATCAAGAAAATATTCTGTTTTTTATGCAAAATTGTACTGTCCTGCCAGATAGACATGGTAATGAAAAATTAACATCTCAAATTATATCTATGTTGAAATTTATTTAGGATTACAGAACATATTTTTATTTCATGACTGTTAATGTAGGCTGCATAAAAGCTATGTTACCTGGCCTAGCAGCGCAATATCTAAGGGCTCATCACAAAACAGCATGTACATAAATAAGTTAAGGAACCATCCCAAATCATAAAGTAAAACTAACTTTGAATGAACAAAGTGCATCTTTATTGCACTTTTCAAATGTTCAGCAGTTCTCAGATATTGAGTTTAACGGATAAGCCCATTTGAATAATTTAAAACAGATTTTACACTGATGGTGTATTGATTTATCCTTGAAATACAAACTTCTCATGGTGTTCATTAAACTATCTAAAAATGACCTAGCAAATGGAATCTCCATCATAATCTATTGCCAATGAAAAGCATGATGTCTTATTTCCATGGAAGTTTTCAGTTGATTTCCTCCTATGTCATAAAAATGATATGGAGGAAGACTGAGTAAATAAATAAATGGTCCTGAAATAGTCATATTTGCCAAAGCATTTCATTAGCGGACATCTTTCTTTAAGTAAATGATACAGCTAAGTAAGTGACGCTCCTGTGTTACTGATCTGTAAACCATGCAGACCTGTCTCCAGCCTGTGTGTTGTCTTGTTTCTACAGAGTGTTATTGTAACCCTTTGGGCTCAATCCATGATCGTTGTAATGGCTCAGGATTTTGTGAGTGTAAAACTGGAACAACAGGGCCTAAGTGTGATGAATGTCTGCCAGGAAATTCCTGGCACTACGGCTGTCAACGTAAGTAACTCTGGGAGCTGCCCTCTGCCTGCTGCAGCATGGCTGATTCTGCTTGTGTAGGCTGGTGCCGTGCCTGCAGCTTCTCAGAGCAGAAAAAGGCCCAAGCCACTGACAAGCTTTAAAGGCTACTTAGTGCCCCAGCCTCAGCACAAGAACGCATCCATCAGCTGTCCTGCTGGCTTCTATGAAGCTCATCTCAGTTCCCTGTGACAGCTGGTACAACTTGTATTGAAATATTGTATGGAGATCCATGTACCTGGCCAGACCATAAATTAAGTGGCACCATAGGGACCCAGCTTGGAAATCCTCACCACAAAATGAAGAGTGATATGTATGTGGTTAATATATTTCTTGAACTGAAAGCTACTTGGAGCTCCAGAGTTCATAAATTCAATGATATCTACATAACATATTACCACATTTGCTATTGTACCCATTACTGAATCTTAACCAAAAAACTGAAGGTAAGAAATCTAATGAATATCTAAATAAATGAGAAAAATCAATATTGAGTTTAAGTCTTTCAGTGTAGACACCACGTAGAAACTCTTAGTTGTCATTTGGTTCAGCTTCATTTCTCTGGAGATTAGTGAGTCTTCCTAAAAGCTTGTCAAGAGAAGTAGCATATCAATGTATACACAGAACAGAACTTTTAAAATCCAAGCAGAAACTCCCTCCTGTCATCATAATCTTTTCTGATGTTTTTTTCTGCACTAACTTTCTATTCTACCTGTACATAGATACCTTACTAATATTAAATAACTACAAGACATATCCTTTACATCAGAGCATACCAATCGATAATTGTGCAAGCCAATTTTGATGTGTTATTATCCAAGTTAAAGAAAGTAAAATGAAATCATAAAATACACTTTAACAACTTACTCTATTTAACCCTGAACACATAGAAATTATAATTTCAATATAATTTATATCAAAGTTATTAACGATACAGCCCCCATTTTTTCACAGTTTTGGTAGCAGATTTGTGTTTTATATTTACAGAGCCACCTCTCTTTCTTCTTCCTTCCAATGCATAGTTTTTCTTTCTCTGAGTTGACCTCATCCTTGACTTGGCCACATTAGTGGCGCAGATACTAAACTGGCAACAAGAAACCAATGGCAGGAAGAAAAGCAGTAGTAGAAGGCACTGAAAGTGACATGGGCAGTGACGTGCTGAGAGAAAGCAAATATTTAGGTAAATGCGCTAAGAACAACTATTGTAGATATCAGAAAGAGCCTGAAAATTCCAGACCCAGGACTCCAATGCCCTGAGAGCACTTGCAAAGAAAGAGAACCACTAGGAACTGCTGCCCAAAGCGATCCAATTACTATCAATTGTGTATATCCTATGAATGGAACGAAGTGAGTGTGGGTTCTGGGTTTGAATCCAGACCTGGATTTGAATCCTATCCCCAATCCTTTGCACTTGAAAGAGTTGAAGGAAATTACTTGGATTCTCTAAACCTAACCTAGTTTGTCATGTGAAAACAGGATAATAAAAGGACCTAACATATATGGTAATTGAGGAAGTTGTTAACGAAGACTAGTAAGAATCCATATCAAAAACATTTTGTTTTATCATAATATTAGTATAGACTTGGCAGGAGGGTAGGCCTTTATTGAAATTATCGGACTGTAGAGCTATTGAATTCTAAGAAGCCCCTTGGCTGGAGACAGGGTTGATACAATAGTCTGAGGCAAAAATGACTTTAAAACTCTGTGGCTTCAACTGTGGAAATGAAAGAACTTTGGGCTTATCAGTGAACTTTCTTCCTGTAGGGCTACCAATTCTTTGCCTCACAAATATAATCTATTCTCTCTGAGAAAACAGGTGAAACCCTTGAAAACAACCAGGGTGAGTAGTCTTTAGACAGCACAGAACAAATAACCCGTGAAAGAAAACAGAAGTGGAAAAAAAAAAAAGGTTTCAAGGAGCAAATTAGTGTTAAGGTTCTCCGAAGAAAAAATGAGACATTAACTAAGAGAATTTTTCTAAATATCTCTTTAGAAGTCAGAGAAGAGGCAATAGTAGAGTCCTAGAGAATAAATCTGAATCTTATAAAAAGTAAAGCAGCACTAGATGCTTTAATAAAATATGAAGAGCTAGCTCTTGCTACTAGCACAAAAAGATTGCATATCGTCTTTTAAAATTTTGGTTGATAGATCAGAAATCATCACATGTAGAGTAAATGAGGCTGATGAGAATATAGTTTATCTTTCTACAGGATAAATGCAAGACACATTGGAAAATCCTATATTGTTTGTTATAGACACTGATGGATAATCTTTTTTTTTTAACCAAACTTATGTCAGTAATAGTAGTATTTTCAGAAGAACTCACAGTCTGCATACTTGGATCAAACTTTAAAATTTGGTGATATATTAAGTGTGATTTTGGAAAAGAGATATAAAATATCAAGAACTGAGCACACAAATCTCAATGGAGATTTGAGATTTGAAACATTGCTGGTTCATGTCTTCACACTTAGTAATACAGGTTCTTGGGATCAAGACGTAGCTTATTAGGAACAAAGAAACATGTTTAAAGGAGGCTCAGTGGCCTAATCAATAGGACTTTTAATTTTTAATTAAACGAAGTATCTGGAAAATACCCTGATACAACTTCCAAACTAGATAGTGTAGCATACTACACAATAACACACACACACACACACAAACACACAATTTTTACAAAAGTTTTTCAGGTGTCAAGAAAATTTGGAGAAGAAAACTTCATGGCTTTAGATATATGACTTTGCTGAAAATACATGATAGCTACATGAGTTTCCTACTATTCCTATAACAAGTTACCACAATTTTGTTGGCTTTAAACATCATGCATGTGCTATGTCACAGTTCAGTACTAGATGTAGTAAGGGTCATGCCAGAAGACCCTTCCGCTGGCTGTAGAGGAAGGCTATTCTCTTCCCTTTACTGATGGCTAGAAGTCTCCTTGGCATTCTGTTGCTTGCACCCTTTCCCTCCATCTCCAAAGCCAGTAACTTTGCAACTCTTTGTGCCTTTCCTCCATCTTCATTTCACATCTTTCTCTGACTACAACTAAGAAAAAATCCATTTTTTTGTGGAACTCTGGGATTGAACCCAGGATCTCACACATGCTAGGTAGTTGTTCTGCTGCTTAACTACATCCCAACATCTCTGTTTCTAAATCCTTCAGAGATAAGTTAGGGCAATCTGTGCATCTTGAGGTCTTTACTTGAGTCACGTGGCTAAAATCTCTTTGCCTCATAAGGTAACGGGTTTTAGAGAAAAAGATATGGTCATCTCTAAGAATCCATTTTACACTATGTGCTACAATAATCATCTAGAGCATCAACCTTTAATGGCAGAGATAAATATGAGGGTGTCATGGAGATGGAATGCAACCCATGCCAGGAATAAAGATATGCAAGGGTGAAATGTACTCCAAGGAAATATGTAAAAGTATTAAAAAAGAGATGTATAAGTCAAAAAGTAGATCTGTAGTGTGAACTAGGAGGTAAGACAGTAAAGTATTTTTCAGGTAAAACAAGGACCATATAGAAAAACCATTGTGAGAGTATCCTGCAGACAACAATTTGGAGGGCATGTTATACAATGTGAAATCATTTAAATGTGCTGTAATCTTCCAAAATGTGGGAATTAAAATATCAATATATTTGGTAAGAGATCTGTTCTTCTAAAATTGTTTAGTGAGAATTTCTTCACCAAAACAATGAGGTAATCTACTGGTTTAGGAGAGCCACTCATGGATGATGTAGATGCCAATATCATAAAAGAAGTAATGCCACCAAAATCCCAAGATGTATTGTCCTAGACCTTAAGAAAAAGTGTAAGTATTTATGACAAAAGGTAAAATCTTAGATTTTCTTTTAAAGTCTGCATGTGCATACACACACACACACACACACACACACAACAAAAGTGCAAATGTTCCCAATAGACTATCAAGAATACGGGATACATTATAAATGAGAAATTTAACAACCTAACAGTCTAATTTATGAGGTTCTTATAAGCATTAATTTGGTCCCTACTATGTCCTGTGTTTGAAAATTATCCTAAAGATAAGTTGCAAATGTACAGATGGTAAAGAGCTACATGAACAGTGACAAAGATGTGGACGTGCTAGGTAACACCCAAGTTTAATTCTAGAGAACAGTGTGGCATGAGTAACAAAGAAGCAAAGATAATTCCTGGCTGAAGAAAGAATAAAGGAATTTATAAGCCTCTGAAGTACACTATGAGCCGCCCATATCAAGTCTTGCCCTTTGAAACATGTTAAATGTGGTGGACAGTGATGCAGGTGGACCTTCTCTTGGATACAGGTGTTTTCATATGAAATAGTTGGAGGTGGCTGGTAAACATGATTTGGCATCTTCTCGATGTCAGCCAGTATTTGGAGGGCTATGTTGTATCAAGTAGATCAGTTGGTTCAAGAAGGTAGATCAAGGGCCATCCCCAAAAGAACTCTTTCCTCTAGCTGTTGAAGAATACAGTGCAGGGTACACTGGATAATGATAAGTTTATCACATTTGAAAAAGTTCAAACAGAAGTTGCATGGACTCCTCTTAGTGATGCTTTGGAGAGATTTGGCTTAAACGGCAAGTACAGTGAAAAGCCCTTTAGTACTCCTCAACGTTCCAACCCTGACTTTAACACATGCCCATAGACTTGAGGAAAGGTACTGTGGGAGCGCCCAACTCAGGTTTTACTAGCCCCTGTAGTTGGGGATTATTAGAAAATCTTCTATACTCTAAAAACTCTTTATCCACAGGTACCAGATTTTCATACTTTTTGCTACCCGTGCTTCATCCTCCAAAATTCAGGTACTAAAAATATATAATTCCATTTATTCCAGAGATCTGTTGTTACTATAGCTCAGGATGAGTCATTTCCTTTTGTGTTTCTTTCTTCTTATTTTTTTTCTTTCAGACCATTTTATTTATAATACAAGTTTGTGATATATAATGTTTACATTCCCTATGGGAAGTTCG